AGTAGTGAAGACTAAGGCAGCTGGCCGCGGCAAGGGCGATCAGCAAAGGAGTCAGGGGCAGGCCGCTAACCTAAACAAAATGGCTGCTTGGATTAGAGCAGGTTTGGATCAAGACGTGTGGCAGGACGGTTGGTCACGCGGTGCTTGCATAAACTGCGGCAAGTACGGCCATACACAATTTAAGTGCAAGAACCCGAAGGTCTCGCATAAGAACCCTCGTCAAGGTGGGTATCCTTCTCAGTTTGGGACCTCTACGAGCTCCAGCTCCGGAAACACTTAGGGGCGGTAGAAGTTGTAGCTGCTTCTACTCTCATTGAAGCGGTAATGTACCCTCCCCGTTTCAAGAGTTGGCCGAAGCTATTGACTCCTTAGTCACCCTGCAGACGCATCCGGACCCAACTATACTCTCTACGTTGGATGTGTCTAAAGCCTTAGAGGACCTTCAAGGTGAGTGGTCGGCAAGGGACCCTCGTGAGTCCTGGGTGGCACTGAGTAGAGGTCCTAGAGGGGAGCACTTCGTTGTGGAAGTTGGTGTGGGTGGTTGGGGAAAGCCTACAAGGAAGCTCCCATCACGATGGACATCATCAACAAACTCTGGGCCAAAGACAAGGTCACCTCTGACGAGCTTGTGACGGTGGATGGGTTACTCTTTCTTGAAAAGGCAGGGTTTAGAAGGTTAGTTGTTCCATCTAGGGACATTTTGCGTAGTTTATTTTTAGGTGAGTGCCATGACGCAACGGGACATTTCGGCTACAAGAAGACTAGTGCTAATTTAGTACAGCGATTCTGGTGGTCTAACATGCTAGATGATGCAAAGAAGTACATACAAACCTGCCAGGTCTGTCAACGGGACAAGCCGAGGACTCAAGCTCCGATTGAGTTACTCAAAGTCTACCCATTCCTGCTGGCCCAGGGCAGAGTATCTCCATGGACTTCATGGATACTCTCGTGACCACCAAGAATGGCAAGAGGCACATCTTCGTCTTAGTTTATAGATTCACTAAGTATGCTAGACTAATTGCCATGCCGGAGACTGCCAAGACTGAACATGTCATCAAGTTATTCATGGATAACTGAGTGCGTGAATTTGGACTGCCAAAGACAATCGTTACTGATAGAGATGTACGTTTCACAAGTGAGATGTGGAAGAAGGCCGCTGAACAAATGAGCAACCAGCTTCAGATGTCTTCTGGGAATCATCCCGAAGCAAATGGGCAGGCTGAACAAATGAACCATGTGGTGCGGCATCTGGTGAGGCATTACATCAAGCCCAGCCAGGATGATTGGGATGAGAAATTACCTCTCATCGCCAGCATGTACACAGCACCACCAGCATCAGTCCTAATCAGCTGCATCTGGGGTGGAAGCCAAGATCTGCTCTAGGCTTCCTCCTGCCTGAAAACCGAACTGCTGCTCCTAGAACCATTGAATTCGGTGTCCAGTATGAGAAATTGTTGCAGCAGACTGTCGAACCAATCAAGAAATCTCAGGAAGCTATGATTGCTTCTGAAAACAAACGTCACCGACAGTCCACATTTCAAGTAGGGGAATGTGTCTGGGTCAAGGCACATCTCTAGGAAACTAATGCCTCAGCGTTTCGGTCCCTGGGAAGTCTTGGATACTGTGGGGAATGATTTGGATGGTCCCTCATAAGTCATTCGTATCCCTGCTCACCTACGCACTTACCCTGTTTTTCATGCCTCCAAGCTTGCACCTTTCGCTGAGACAGCACAGTTCCCATCACGGACATCTATTTTTCATGCCTCCAAGCTCCGCTTGAGTTACTCAAGGCTCTACCCATTCCTGCTGGCCCAAGGCAGAGTATCTCCATGGACTTCATGGACACTCTCGTGACCACCAAGAATGGCAAGAGGCACATCTCTAGGAAACTAATGCCTCAGTATTTCGGTCCCTGGGAAGTCTTGGATACTGTGGGGAATGATTTGGATGGTCCCTCATAAGTCATTCGTATCCCTGGTCACCTACGCACTTACCCTGTTTTTCATGCCTCCAAGCTTGCAGCTTTCGCTGAGACAACACAGTTCCCATCACGGAGATCTATGTTGCCCCCAACCATGGATGGCCACGCGGACGTCGACGACATCCTGGATCACAGAGACACGCATGTTCCCAAGCCAGCTGACGGGGGAAGACCTCCTAAACCTGCAAGGGAATACAGAGTACATTTCAGGCATCATACTGATCCTAAGGAAGATCGATGGATTTCAAGGGAGGAACTTGTCAAGACAGCTCATGAGATCGTGGCAGATTATGAGAAGAAACTGAAGGGGAAGGCACAAGCAAGAAGCATCTCAACGGACTTTCGAAGCTAAGGGAGATGGAATGTGAGGAACAAGCCTTCAAGAGGCCCTATCAAACATCACATTGTTCTGGGCTAAGGCCCCCATCAAGCTGAGTGCCCGCCCTAAGTGAAGGCGGGCCTGAATATTCATCAGAGGCCAAAATTTGACATTTCCATATGTGGGTACTCAGGCTCTTGCAGCACGCCAAATGGTTGGGTAGACGCGTGAGCCTCACTAAGTTGCGTCATACAGTTGGCCCAGGCCTTGACAGTTGCGCCTGGGCACATACACACTTGAAGACGGGTTGAGAGGGAGAGAAGGAGATGATGGACTGAGAAGAAGAGGAAGAAAAACTCTCTCTCTCTCACTGTTACGAACCAGATACTAACCTGTGATGTGGCGTTGTGCTGCAGGTACCTTGAAGACGAAGCTGGAGCAACGGCGCTGCAGGTAGGTACCCCTGGCCTCCGCCCAAGCTCTCTCTCTCTCTCTCTACCACTATCCTAGCTATGGCGCCCAGCGCCGAAGGCTACTAGCTAACACTACCACTACTATAACGCAGCGCTCCCTCCAGAGGGCTGCTCCCGAATCCTRAAGACTACAACTGCCGACTCCTCCCTCCTGTAGGGCGGGCCAGTCCTTTATAGTGCTGGCCCGTGCAGGAGGCTGGTCGTGCCAATGCCCTATGCGCAGGAGGCCGCTCTTGCCAATGCCTCCCTGGCCTAGACCCTGCGGAAGCTTCCAGGCAAGAGC